TGTTAAGCCCTGCCCTATAATACAGTTTAGTATTAAAAAAAAATAAAATCAACATTTGATCAGCAGGTTCACGGACACTAAATTAATCCTAATACATCCTTTTGCAACCAATGATTACTGCAATCAGTAGCATAGCTCTTGTATAGTGCCTAGAGTTTAAACATTTTGGGCTTCCTTTGGCATCAGTCTCTTCACATTTCTCTTTTTAAGAATCAAAATTACTCAGTCTAGTGTGCAAAAGGGTTATTATTGCTTCTCAGATGGAATAAGATTATGGCACTTTTAGTCATATGAAGCACAGAAGAGCCTCTCGCTGCCCACTAAGGGTCATTTTAGTTACATCTCCGTGAACTGATAATTAATCTAATTGCAATACTTTAAACTGTCAGAAGAGGGCAATAATTGCAAGATATTTGATTTATGCAATATGTTTGTTCCACAAACTAAAAAATAAGTTATTATATACAATAGTAAAGCTGCGCCTTCCCTGTCTGTAATCAGAAATAAAGGCAGGAAAATAGGTAAAACAAAGTCATATGAAACGCTATATTCTGTCTTCTGAACAAATTGTTATTTGCTATTCCTTTTAGTGAAAATCAAAAACCCTGACAGGGGAAATGCAAATATTTTTAGGTCTATTGTGGCCTACACGTTGTTTTTTTAATAATTGATGGTCCTCTTATCAAAATCACAAACCAAATTAAATGAGAATTGTCCTCATAATGCATAGGTGCAATGCTTTGCTATGGGGATTTTACTTACACTGGATGTACTTGTGCATAACGTGAGGACGTCCAATGTCAGTTAGGCGACCAAAAGTGACTTAATCACCAGGAAGTGCCTCTAGTGGCTTTTTAATTTCTCAAAAACAGTAATGATTTACGAGTTGGACTGTCACTTTGCTCACTGATCTTTAACACTATTGATTGCCACTTATATCACTGATATTTCATAATCCTATGTATTAATTATTAGCACTATTATGTTGGTAAACCATTTTGCTTATTGCAATACAGGGTTTATTTTCTACATTGCGATATTGGGTAACTGATTTATTGCACAAAAGACCTTTTGTTCTGGCTGCTATGTAACCTAATTATGTTGCTTTGTAAGTATTTTATATTATATGTGTTATATAGTGCAATCTTTCCCATCTCAATATACCATATATACTCGTCTATAAGTCGAGTGCATTTTTTTGACCAACAATTTTGAAATATGCTATGACTCGTGGATAAGTCGAGGATACGTTATTCGAATGGAATTGTTCCCCTTCTGTTCGGTTACCGAATAGACTCTGTGTGGTCCCCCTTGTTAACTCCTCGTAATCACCGACCACCCCGGCTTTTAACCACAAACAAGCATTCCCTGGGCGGCCGCCATTCGTATAAATGAAGGCACATGTTTTCTCCCGAAAGCAGGCATCGGTACATGGTCATCGACAGCATGGAACTAATTTCGGATACACAACCGCGCGAACATCTGGTAAATGGCTACCGCTGCCCATCCAACTTCCCGAACAGTTAGGAGAACGGTGTTTGGGAGTCGAAATTCTATCAAAACTAGCTTAAAAGGAAGTTTAGGTCTAAAATTTCACCAGTATATACGGTATACTTCTTGCTATATTGAATTAATAAATATAATTATATTTTGCTTGTTGCTATATAAAATTCTTGTGTTTGGTTCTCCATAATGTGAAGTAGACAAGGTGTGACAAGCATCACAGATGTTTCTGTATAACTCTTTCCATTCAATTTTAATTCACTATAATAAAAAGGGTAACATTTCCAATTCAGAGTTTAGCAAATAGCCCTGTATAGTACTGGTAGTTTGCCTTTTGCTATATATAACATTATTTCTACTTTGCTGGGTGCATAATTCTATAAGTACCCAAACTATGGGAAATATGTTCATATTTTGAAATGCATGCTCTCTGATGTGGCTGCTGGTAGCAAAACGTATGTTTGTTGCCCAATACTGTGCTTGAGCCTCCAGTGAAATCTATTTTCTCAATTTGTCCTTATTCTCTTAAACCTTATCTTAAGAACCCAATAAGTGATTTCCAGAGTCCCATGAGATGTTGTCTTGGGACTCCAAGCAAAACGGAAGATGTTTAATGCCAGTCCCATGACACATACAAATTGCTTGGGAACAACAGATCCCATTAGTGGTCCTATTCCAGTAGAATATTCTAGTAATGGGCATTATGCAATGTCTTGATAGTTACAATTTTTTTTATGTATCTTTTTTCTATGAAGACAAGAGGATCCAGTAGGTGCAAGGCTTAAAATGTAAAGTCATACGTTACTAGCCAGGCCTTAAAATTGTTTGCCACTGCATCTCTGGAGAGTCCATGGCAGTGTCACCAGTAGTTCTACATTTTCACTTGCCAGTGGCTATTCTATATTTTCTAGATTTAAGGATTGTGTATAATATTTTGGCTTTACATTTGAAATTCACTTTAAAAATCACTCAATTTCTGACAGTTCTTACGTTGAAAGGCGCAATTTCAAGGCTATTGTATACTAGCTGGCTTACTCCTCATCTCGATATAAAAACACAACAGAGAGCGATGCACCAATGTGCAAAGAAACACAGTCGTTTCCACTAAATGAGAACACACTCATAACAGCAAGAGACATAATACACATTGTGTAATCTGAGCATGCTTGATTTTTTTTACATGTCGCTTGCTGCTATGATTAGGTTATTGGTGAGTGGAGACTACGGAGTTCCTGTTCTAGAAGTAATATTGTGTGGATTTACACATTTTAATATAATTTTTATCTAAGGTGTTAGATAATACCAATGTGCACACTTTTATTGTTACTGCTTTGTACTGCATACTCCTCACCTTGGGTGTCTGATCACCTTAACCAATTCTCTATATAACTGTGACCTTTCCACTGTGTTGAGGGATATGTTGGAGCTAAGTAGAAAGAAAAGTACATATTAGTTCAATTACATTCACGAGGTTGGTTACTTTACAATTAGCAAGTTACATTTGAGTAGGTAATCTCTAATGAAAATCTCCTCATGATGTACCACAAATCGTCCTCTCCCCCTACCCCTGGCATGGCTCATCTCGGTACACTATGGATGCTGACCTTTCAACAATTAAAAGCCATTCATCTTCTCATACTGAAGTATAAATATAATAACTATGCGTTATTTTCCAATAGTGTTTATTACTTACCACTTTATGGTTATTTATAGAATCTTATAAGGGAAAGCTTTCCTTGTTTAGCCCTTTGAGCTATATGGTATTTTACAGCGCTCTAGCAGAGTCAGGTTTAAGCTCTACCCATTGCCAAAAATTGTCAAATAAAAAAAGAAGTTCCTGCTGTGCAGCACTGCCCCAGGAAGCACTTCCAGTAGCCATCTGAGGAGTGGCCACTGGAGGTGTCCCAAGGGGGAAATGTAAACACTGCCTTTTCTCTGTCTGCATGAAAATGCCATCAGTGAGCTATTAAACTCACCAGAAATACAACACTACATTAGGCTGTAATTATTCCTCGTGATTATAGTGTCCCTTTAACCCATCACTTTGTTATTGAACTGAGGGTGGAGGCGAGGCACAGCAAGAGAGACCTGGAGAATGGGCACAATCTAGACTGATTTTGGGTTAAGCAGTTCATAAATAGATTAACCCCTTCAGGTAAGATGGTGCGCCCAGGACCTCCAGGCACCATAACAATTTGATTTACTTTAGGTTGTTATGGTGCCCTCCCAGGGTAAGTAGCCAAACAATTTCAGATGTTTTATAACTTACCTGGAGGTAGACTGGCAGTGCAGGGCTTCGCTCATTGGCAGAGAGAGTTCTGCTCTAAGCCAATAAGCCAGTGCTGCAGGGCTTAGTTCTGTTGAGCAAATGAAAGCTCCATTAAGGAGATTCTGTCTCTCCTAAACACAGCACTCATATTCCGGTACGCCCTGTGTCTAGCAAATACACTCTGGGGCAAGCAGAACAAATGCTTCATATTTCTATCTCCTTATACTGTAGTTAAAGCTGCCATTTAGTGGAAATATGTGAAACTAGTTTTTTATGCCATAGACGTGGCAAAACGTGGCACAATGCACACTATTAAATGGAAAGTTTAGCAAAAGGGTATCATATGCCAACAGTCCTCATTTTGATACCCTCTCACTTTATCAACAGTAACAGATACCCCATACTGCTATAGCATGAGGGGGCAAAAAGGTACCCCCTTAGCATGGAGCTGTACCTTTACAGCAGGTGAGGGGGCACTACTTTCTAACCTCCCCTACAAAGTACTCCTGTACTAATCTGCAAATATAACTGATTTCCTCCCTCCCTGCCATGGCTGTTGCGATTACACAGCCTGTAATATGATAGTAATAATATAGAAATTCATGCACCTTTTTGTTTCAGTGCATATGGCTTTATCCCAGTACTGTAAGCTGATACTTCATGACAAACTGTACAGAATTATTCCATTTAGGGTCTGCGGAGATGGGACAAAAAGACAGACTTAATGTAATTCTGAAGCTTACAATACTGGCACTTTACACAAGCAAGTCTATTAGATCTACTCACACAGATCAAAATCACTGTTATTCGTGGGCTGCAGAACTTGCAATTTAACGTGATCCAGATTAAAAGCTCGTTTTTATTTTATTTTTCTCTCCTCAATAATTTTGAGATTTGCCATTTCAAATTGCCATTGTAGAAACAGAGCAGCACTCTGAATACATTGTCGCTATATAAATGATAATTCTATTAAATAAAATGCACAGGATATTAAAGTCTCTTTTTTATGTTCCTATTAATGTGATTTCATGGAAATGATGAAAACCAGATGCTTCTACAACACCACATTCTCTTTACTAAACGCCGAATGATTGTGGATTGAAAAGAAAATTGACACGTTTGGAATTTTAGTCATAGCTTTTCTATTTGCGCCTAAATTTAGCAATTCAGTTATTCCATTTGGTGTTTAGTTAATAAACCCCATTTGTGGTTCCTTCACATCAATCAGTACCAGAGAATCCGCTACAGCCAAGACTAATGAACGTTAATGGAGAGACCCAATTATCCCTGGCTGCCGAATGAAAACAATAAAGTTTAGAGACCGATCCCTATCAGACTATTCCTTCTAGCCGCGATTCTGCAAAGCATTCGCACTGTTGCTTAGTGATGGAAAATAAGCTCCTCTTATCAGCTCTAGTAGAGATTTAACAATGCCTGTTATTTGACTGAATTGCTATGAAATAAGTTAATTCTTCCGCCTCTAAAGCTGGCTTTTGGCCATAAATTTTGTTAGTGGTTGTTTGAACAGCGATTGTGGCCTATTTATGGCACAAGTACATGAGTCTATGTTTAACCTTTTAATTGCAAGAGTGCCTTACGGTATGGAGCAGCATAATAAGCAACCAAACCTAAACATACGGTAATGCTTCTTAACCTCTTTGTGCTTTATTGTACAAAGCGAACCGGTATTGTTCTGTTCTCATTCGTGGGCCATATGCCAATCTCTCCTTTTTGTATTTACAGTCACTTTGAACGCTGCTCCATAAAGTGAAATAGAACCATATTCACTGATAGATTATGTGCGGGCACTCTGTCTGATATACCAGTGAAACAGTCACCCAAGTGCAGTGGTTTTTTTTAGTCATTGCTAAGTGTGCTCCAGGGTTACTTCTGATGAGTCTATATCAACACCTATTTAATGCAGATGTTGATGGAATTTAGTAGCCACCCAATGTCAACACAACATACTGTATAGTTTAACATCAATATATTACATTGCTACAAGAGCCAAGTCTTTGGAGAGAAAATTGTATTTCCTTAAATAGACACTCTAAGGACCATAACAACTTTACCGTATTGAAATACTCGGTCCTTGAAACCTTTCTTTTTTTAAAATGGTCACTCCAGAGATAAACATATTTTCTTTTTTTCCTGTGTGTACGGCAGCCTTTCAATCAGACCGTTTCAGTTCTCTTTTCCTGGCTGGCAATATCGGTTTTGTGAAACCTTGGCTTCTGGTATCAGCACACATAACACACTAACCCCAGATGCTTTAGACAGGCTGCCTATATGAGTGGGTTTAACACTCATTGTTAAAGCTCCTAATGCCAGGCTTTTAGGCAATTTAAAGGGACACTATAGTCACCAGAACAACTTCCGCTTAACGTTATTGTTCTGGTAAGTATAGTAGGTCCCAACAGGCCTTTTCATGTAAACTGTATTTTCAGAGAAAATGCAGTGTTTACATTGCTGCCTAGGTACACCTTCAGGGGCAGTAAAGGTGCTTCCTGGGTCATTGCTGCACGTTTAGCGTATCCACACTCTACATTGAGATGCTGAACTTTCCCCATAGAGATGCATTGTCAGTGCATCTCTATGAAGAGATGCTGATTGGCCAGCGTGGTATTTGACTCCATCCTGCACTCCTCCTTGGCTGAGGTCATCAGAATTCAGGATCACAGCCAATCCAATGTTTTCTTATGGGAAATCATTGGATTGGCTAAGATCATCATTTTTGAGGATCTCAACCAAGGAGTGGAGCAGGGCAAAACCAAATACAACGCTGGCCAATCAGCATCTCTTCATAGATGCATCTCTATGGTGAAAGTTCAGCATCTCAGATTTTGGTGAGTTTTGACAATTTTTATGGGTGGAAGTCAAGGTCCTAAACTGATTTTTTTAACACTATAGGGTCAGGAATACATGTTTTTATTCCTCACCCTATACTGTTCCTGTAACTGTCTTAGGCGTCAGTCAATAAAAATACAAAACACGCTAACAACTAAAAGGAACATGTCAAGCATCATAACTACTACAGTGCGTTGCAGTGGTTATGGTGCTAGGCATGCCCTGGCACCTTACTCCCCCCTCCACTGTAAGCAGTCAAGCATCTTAGAACAGTTTGACTTCTTACCTGGATCTTAGCTCAGGCATAGAACATCTGGCTCTTCTGTAGGCTATGTCTAGCAGTGCAGGGCTCGTCTCATTGGCTGTGAGCACAGGGCTTAGTTCAGGTCAAGAGAACTAACAGACGCTCCTAAGCAGGGCCTAGTTGAAGTGCTTTAGTATCCTCTTTGTCTTGTACCAATTTCTATTAATTGTGATTTCATTACTTAAATTTACTCTCTTGGCTGTCAGACCGCTACAAGGGTGTTCTTCCCTCACTGAGTGCAGAGTGCAAAAAGAGTGGATCTTCATAAGCTCCAGTTCTGCAGCTAATAGAATAGTTATTGGGCTTACATTTTTTATATATATTATATAATTCTTATTATTGTTTTGGAGATAGAGTTTCCCCTTAACGTAGAGTATGTTTTTTGATTAAAACATTCCCCTACGCATTAACGCAGTCAAAATGAACCTTCTACCCAGACTGCTCTATTTATTCCAGACGGTGCCGATCACGGTCCCCAGAGCGTTCTTTAGCTCCCTGACGGCCGCCATCCGTCTGGAATTCGCGCCCAACGCGCATCAAGAGAACGACATTGGAACTGCCAAAACCGTTGGGGGGTACCGCCTGCCCTCAATTGAGACATACTACCGGGCCGCACATTTACACAGGCTCACAGACTGGCACGCACAGCATCCCACAAAACAATGGGTCACACTGGAATTGGAACAGTCGGGAGGGCACATACCCCCCACATTATGGCTACACACTGCTACGCACGCAGACCTACAAACTAAAAATCCCTTAATAGACGCCACCCTAAGGGTCTGGATGGCAACCCGATACCGTCTACAACTCACCACTTCGCCCAGCCCCCTGATCCCCCTCACACATAACCCGGAATTGGCAGATTCACTGACTCGAGGTGATCTAGCCGGATTCCAACCGACGGACTGGTCATATATACACCAATGGCTCAGCTCCAACGGCCTAAAAACACTCGGAGAACTATGCCCCGACAGAACACCTACATTCCTTGAACAGTTTAGATACCGCCAAATAAAATCTTACTACTGAGCCCAGTCGGGTAAGGGGCACCTACACAGACCCTTAACTGACTTTGAAACCCTATGTGTGCAACGCACACACATCACCAGGGGAATCTCAACCCTGTACACTCTACTCACGACTCAGACGAACAGGGACGTGGAGCTTAGGTTCAAGGACCACTGGGAGAGGGATGCGGGAGAGACACTCACTGCACACGAATGGGACAAGATTTACACCCTCAGGCACAAATGCTCTATTAGCTCAAAATATCAGGAATTAAACTATAAAGTGCTAACACGCTGGTATAGAACGCCCGACACACTGCACCGCATGCACGGTACCACGTCAGGCATGTGCTGGCGATGTGGCACACAACCTGGCACGTATATCCACATGTGGTGGTCATGCCCAGTAATTGCCCCTTTCTGGGAACAAATTAGGGGAGAGGTCAACAAAATTACAGGCACCGATATCCCCCTGGCACCCCTAACGATGCTTTTGCACCACACCCGAAGCCCACTGACAGCATACAAAAAATCCCTGGAGCTGCCGCTACTCAATGCCGCCAAATCCCTTATCCCGAGGATGTGGAAACAGCCAAGAGCGCCCACCTTGGGGCAATGGGTGTCGGCGGTAGAGGACATATACTCAATGGAGACCCTGACGGCCGACCTCCACGGGAGACCGGAGCGGTGTGCATTGACCTGGTACCCATGGACCACATATGTGGCAGATGGAACTGTGACCCCCGAGCCAATTTAGCTGAACCTCACAGAACATCACGACAACTGCCTTACCCCTCATAGGCACAGACACGCCCTACCCATTAACCACACACAGACTACTGACAGTTTTCACCCTCCCCCCCCGACCAAAACGGACAACTGGAAGACATAACATCCGCTTGAACAAACTACACAAACCACCGGGACCTGGAGTAATCCAGGACGGACACCTTTAATCAGCCGGACGCACAGACAGGTTTGCGACACGGGATCACTCGACTCCCGGTAAACAGTAAGACCCCAAAGCACACGCAAATAACCCCGAACACCGCACCTGCAGATGGCAGAGGGCTACTAAGTATAACAGAAGCTCCCCACATATCAGGGATGCACAGGTAACCTCCCATATGACCAGCACGTCACTTAGCACCGCAGTTCGCAGAGGGGAAGGAACACCATATGACGACAGACCCGTACCGGGAAACCGGATATGAGATAACCGGGTCCAATTGTTAGTTTTGCACCCCAAGTAGCGCAGTGCACCTAAGGGACAACCATAGACGGCTACGATAAACGCTAGGGAAGTACCCGGGGACACAGTACCAGACACAAACAGCTAGAATCGCAGTCTAAATCAGTTGGAGCCCGAGGCGGCAATCGCCGTAAGGACCCGGGATTCCGACCTAGTTACGTACAAGCGCAATATAACTGCAGGCATTAGCCACGATTGCTCGAGGGTATAACAGAAGGAACCCAAGGACGGGTCTATCAGGTAGCGAGAGTAAAGCCTTGTCTGCGCAACATTGTTCTTTCAGACCAAATGTTCGTTACCAGACCGACTAATGTTACATTATCTGTGGAAAAAAAACAAACTGATACATAAAGACTGTCAAAATACCCCCTACAGCTACTAGACCAGATACCGGTTCACACCCTAAACGTAGAGCGCACACCATAAGTGCAGCAAACTGCGCACTGTAGGCAAGAGGAGCTATGAGCCTTGAAACCTGATCATAAGTTACACTACCTAATGCATGTGATGGAAACTATTGAAATATTGTTGGAGAAGCCTGATTTGAGAATGTTAGTAAAAAGGCTACGAATGTTGTTATGCTATTCAGAAATATGATGTTACAATTGATGTTTTACCGTATCTACACTTTTCTGTGACAAAATGATAAAAATGAAAATAAAGATTGTCAAAAAAAAACAAAAAACATTCCCCTAGCAAGAGTATAGACCTAAAGAATGATTTTTAAACAAAAGAAACTCCAATGTACCCATTGCAAAATGGCTGCACAGATATGACTAAAAAACTACAAACAAAATAAAATCTAGCTCCATAGTTTAACCTTTGTGTTTATTTACAAAGAATATACAAAGGCAGTGAATCGTGGAGATAAGAAATAGCACATTTTAAGTTTCCAATCTCTACTTTTGCTAAGTTCACATCCTGGCAATTTTGGGCAAAATGTTTAAATTCACAACTCCCCTTCTGGTACGAATACAAATGTAAGCTATACAATGTGCTAGAAAAATAGTTAAAGATTATATTATTAAGGGAAAATCCAGGCTGGAAATGGCCCAATATTATATATGTATAGAATTAAAAAAATGTAAGAACAATCTACTGTATAATAATAAAATAAAAAGATACTCACTTTTAAAGGCTCTTCGTTTTGTTCAAATCCACTCACATTACATTAGTCTTTTACGCACAGTACGAAGTAACAGCGCCAGTCAGGAACCTCTCATTCTGGTCTAAGGAGTGCGAACTGCTGAACATGTTTCAGCCAGTGCTAAAAGTATTAAAGGGGAAGATGTGATTAGCATATTTCACAGTTCTCTGTGCACAGACTCAGTTTTGCTTAGAGCAGAGGTCTTTGGGGCTTTCAACTTATGAAACCTGTACACTAGACCACAACTGGTACCAGAATACTATATGAAACCTTCTTGAGCAGGTACAGGAAACCGAGAAAAATATATGTTAGAATGGAAGTGGGACAAAGAATGCAAGCTGAAGATACATTTTTGTTGTTTGATTAAAAATGCTTAAAACGATGTGCTTACATTCTAAATGACATAACGGTGGTAAAGAAGTAAAGACAAAACATCATTGAAAAAGCTGGTGTTTGCAGATTTTAATGGGAATCATAGAAGATATTATTGGGGGGTAGAGGGGGGGAGTTAGTGGGCCATTAAAGATATTTCACACGGATGAAGAATCTTGAGATATAATGTACAATGAAACAAGGGTTGGTGGGAGGAAAGGGAAGTCTGGGTTCTGTCACAGGAAGAAGCTTGGTTTTAAGAAAGATGCACGTCGTATTATCACAGGATATAAGATATATATATCTTGAGAAAGGACGGGGTAGAATATAACTCTTGCAGGGTTAGTTACTAAGGTCAGAATTCAAAGTGAATTTCAAATTTAAGACCAGAGTAGACGAACTTGAAGCATAGCTGACAGAGAATTTTTCCATTTAGTCTATTTAGACCTTAAAATTCACTCTTAATGCTCACTGTAATAAATGACCCTGTTTAAGAAAAGTGGAGATATGGCGGGTGCCCAGTTATTTTACGTGGCATCCCGCCATTTACTCCTCGCAAGCACGGAGATGACATGACACATGTGGACTAATAGCCATGTGTCAACTTGCTCTGGAAACCATTTTTAAAGAATAAAACAATTCTCACCTATACATTTCATAGGAAAATTGGCTACACTTTATATAGACTACAGTTATTCTTTATACAGTACCAACGTCTTTTTTTTTTTTTTTGCATGATCTATTATTACTCAAATCTGAACGTTTCTAAATATATAATGCATGTGTGACTTGAGAGACTTTGAAACATTGTGTAATTGTGTCAATGAGACTGGATTAAAGCCTTATTTTACCATGAATCTTCCTGGAAGGATCTGAATTTGCATTAAGCCATCAAAGTGCACCTGTTGTGATAGTCTTATGAATTATGTTTTGCAGGTGATAAATCAAGCTGTCTTTCACAGAAATAAAATTCTTAATGTGGTTTCATCATTCATACTGGGTTATATCCCAACACATCCATCATGGTGTCTAATAGCCAGGGAGAAATTGATTATTTTCTCTATTTTTTCCTTATTACTTGTAAAATAGTATGCAATTTCCTATTGACATTTGTATCAAACTAATAAACATTTGCTTCTTTAGAAACTATAAACTGCAGCAAATATTTTTTTCTTTCTTTCTGTGGTTTGAATATAATGTGGAATGCTTGTAATTCCAGACATGACCACATGGGATCATAATTTAGCACTGTGTGCATCATCTTTTGGAGATTATTGATAGGATTTTTTAAACAGGACTGTACATAGTTAACAGGACTGACCAGTTTGCATTGAACATGCATTGGACCAGTGTAAGGATTTCAACAAAAAACAAGAGAGAATATGAAAACTGAGAATCGACAAAAGAGCAGAGAAACTTAATTGCTTGTCCAGTTAGACAGAGAATGGCCCTCAATGGCAGTTCAAATCCAAAATGCCTGCAAGGTCCCTCTGCATCAGTGATACAGCAACTCCAGATAATCGTTTCAACACTTTTTGGGCTTCATCAGCGATGTATAGGTGATGCCACTCTAGGCACTGTGAGCAAGGGGTCCACATCTGCAGTACATCTGTCCCTAGTTACAGCTCCCTATGAGGGGGACCAGATACCCATGTGCAATGAATGTGAAGCATCCATGCTTCCCCATCACATGACTGGGTTTAAGTGCAGCGGAATACACACAATGCTCTGCACAGCGACTCTATATACCGAGTGACACACGAGGCTCTGCACAGCGACTCTATATACCGAGTGACACACGAGGCTCTGCACAGCGACTCTATATACTGAGTGACACACAATGCTCTGCACAGCAACTCTATATACTGAGTGACACACGATGCTCTGCACAGCAACTCTATATACTGAGTGACACACAATGCTCTGCACAGCAACTCTATATACTGAGTGACACACGATGCTCTGCACAGCAACTCTATATACTGAGTGACACACGATGCTCTGCACAGCGACTCTATATACTGAGTGACACACGATGCTCTGCACAGCGACTCTATATACTGAGTGACACACGATGCTCTGCACAGCGACTCTATATACTGAGTGACACACAATGCTCTGCACAGCGACTCTATATACTGAGTGACACAATGCTCTGCACAGCGACTATATACTGAGTGACACGATGCTCTGCACAGAGACTCTATATACGGAGTGACACACGATGCTCTGCACAGTGACTATATACGGAGTGACACACGATGCTCTGCACAGCGACTCTATATACTGAGTGACACACAATGCTCTGCACAGCGACTCTATATACTGAGTGACACACGATGCTCTGCACAGCGACTATATACGGAGTGACACGATGCTCTGCACAGCGACTCTATATACTGAGTGACACACGATCCTCTGCACAGCGACTCTATATACTGAGTGACACACGATGCTCTGCACAGCGACTCTATATACTGAGTGACACACGATGCTCTGCACAGCGACTCTATATGCTGAGTGACACACAATGCTCTGCACAGCGACTCTATACGGAGTGACACACAATGCTCTGCACAGCGACTCTATATACTGAGTGACACAATGCTCTGCACAGCAACTATATACGGAGTGACACACGATGCTCTGCACAGCAACTCTATATACTGAGTGACACACAATGCTCTGCTCTGCACAGCGAATCTCTCTATATACTAAGTGACACACAATGCTCTGCAAGGATAATCCCTCTACATACCAAGTGCCACAGGATGCTTTGCAAGGATTATCCCTCTATATACGGAGTGCCACACGATGCTCTGCAAGGATAATCCCTCTATATACTAAGTGACACACGATGCTCTGCAAAGATAATCCCTCTATATACTGAGTGACACACGATGCTCTGCAAGGATAATCCCTCTATATACTGAGTGACACGATGCTCTGCACAGCAAATCCCTCTATATACTGAGTGACACAGGATACTCTGCAGAGTGAATACCTCTATATACTGAGTGACACACAATGCTCTGCAAGGATAATTCCTCTATATACTGAGTGACACACAATGCTCAGCACAGTGAATCCCTCTATATACAGAGTGACACACATTGCTCTATATTGGTAGTAGCAGACTAAGAGTGTAGAATCTTTTTTCTTCCACAGGATCTGCTAGGAGTAGAGCATACCATTAGTGGCAGCAGACAGCCTGGCTTTTACAGGCAATAGCTGTGCATATTGCAACCACTTGGTTGTTTCCAAGTAGAGGGGATACTTTGTTTTTGTTTTCCCTTTTATGTTATTATTTTTTTGATACTGTTTCAGTATCTAAGATCCCAGTTGGTAACTTGACAGATACAGACATATTCTGCATTTTAGTCTACTTGACCACAAGGATAAGAGCTTATAGTTCTCCCTCTTCTTACTCCTAATTTCTGATTTCATTTCAGAGGCCATTATAGGACCTTCCTTTTGGATTCAACCTGTCCATATCTAGGACAGCTTCTATTATTTAAGGCTGCTCTGTAGAGATGTTTAGACTACAGGTTCCTATTTCTCAATTTCTACCAGCTCTATTCCCAGATTTACAGATTGAGTCCATTACTCCTTATATATATACTTATTTTTCTAGTTTTTATGGTGTATTAAGTTTCATTTATATTTTCTTTTTTGGGATCATACTTTTGTAGTAGATACCCTCAATAAAGCTATTTTAAGGATATCATTTTAGACAGCATATCTCCTGCAGAACTTTCTCTCAAGTGCTCCTGTTGCTTTTGTAGTTTGGGATCACACACTTTTGAAGGATAATCCCTCCACATACTGAGTGCCACACAATGCTCTGCAAGGATAATCTCTCTATATACTGAGTGACACACGATGCTCTATACAGCAAATCTTTCTATATACTGAGTGCCCTTAACTACCCAGTGCAGGTTAAAGCATGGTCTATAATGAATGCGGTGACGAGACTCATCTTCCTGTCTGCCCGCACCTCCACGCTCTGTCAGTCCCTACGGCTTCCATTTAGATATAAGGCTCAATTTAAGATTCTGGTGCTTGCTTACAAGTCCCTACATAATGCTGCTCCAACCTACCTATCCTCCCTAATACACAAGTATGTCCCATCGAGGCCCCTGCGCTCTGCCGAAGACCTACATCTATCCTCTGTCCGTACTTCCACCTCTAATGCTCGCCTTCAAGACCTCTCCAGGGATGCACCTTTTCTGTGGAACTCCCTTCCCTTCTCCCTTCACCCAGTCTCTACTCATTCAAAAAATCATTGAAAACTCACTTCTTCATGAAAGCATATCAACTAAACTGTTAGCAGGTTTTCATCCCCTGTCCCCAATTATTTCTCTCCTGCAACTGTCAAAATTACCTACTAAGCCTGCAGTTTATACTTTTCTAACAACCTACTTCGTACCCCTACTTTTACCCTTTGTGTCAGTTTACCCCACTCACTCTAGCATGTAAGCTCATTAAGTAGGGCCCATAACCCCTTTGTTCCTGTACGTCCACTTGTCTGGTTACAATTACGTGTCTGTCAGTCCACCCATTGTACAGCGCTACAGAATTTGATGGTGCTACATAATAATCCCTAACTAACCCAGTGCAGGTTGAAGCATTGTCCCTAACTAACCCAGCACAGCTTAAAGCATTGTCGGTTACTAACCCAGCACAGGTTAAAGCATTGTCGCTAACTAACCCAGCACAGGTTAAAGCATTGTTGCCAACTAACCCAGCGCAGGTTAAAGCATTGTCGCTTACTAACCCAGCGCAGGTTAAAGCATTGTCGCTTACTAACCCAGCGCAGGTAAAAGCATTGTCCTTAACTAACCCAGCGCAGGTTAAAGCATTGTCGCTTACTAACCCAGCGCAGGTTAAAACATTGTTCCTAACTAATCCAGCGCAGGTTAAAGCACTGTCCCTAACTAACCCAGCGCAGGTTATAGCACTGTCCCTAACTAACCCAGCGCAGGTTATAGCACTGTCCCTAACTAACCCAGTGTAGGTTAAAGCATTGTCGCTAACTAACCCATTGCAATGTTAAAGCATTGTCGGTTACTAACCCAGCGCAGGTTAAAGCATTGTCGCTTACTAACCCAGTGCAGTTTAAAGCATTGTCGCTAACTAACCCAGCGCAGGTTAAAGCATTGTTGCAAACTAACCCAGCGCAGGTTAAAGCATTGTCGCTTACTAACCCAGCGCAGGTAAAAGCATTGTCCTTAACTAACCCAGCGCAGGTTAAAGCATTGTCGCTTACTAACCCAGCGCAGGTTAAAGCATTGTTCCTAACTAATCCAGCGCAGGTTAAAGCATTGTCCCTAACTAATCCCAGCGCAGGCAGGCAGGTTAAAGCACTGTCCCTAACTAACGCCAGCGCAGGTTATAGCACTGTCCCTAACTAACCCACAGCGCAGGTTAAAGCACTGTCCCTAACTAACCCAGCGCAGGTTAAAGCACTGTCGCTAACTAACCCAGCGCAGGTTAAAGCATTGTCGCTAACTAACCCTGCACAGGTTAAAGCACTGTCCCTAACTAACCCAGCGCAGGTTATAGCA